GCTTTTGGACAACCTGGGTTTTCCTTGGCCGTCAAAAAGGTGAAAACAGGCTTGGTATACTTCTTTTTCGTCTTTTTTATCTTGCCGTCCAGGCCCGGTTCGACTACCTCGTCGTCAGGGATTCTAAGATATTTATTGATCTCCAGGTCGCGCACTAGTCGGCCAATGATCCAGGATTCGTTTTCACGAGCGCCTTGGCTGCTCAACGGAATAACGCGGCATACTATGTCTGGGGGAGGCATGAGTGAGCCGTCACTGAGAGCCGAATTCAGCGCATTGAAAGCGTAGGCCACCCATCCAAAGCTAAACGCGGTGGGTGTGATGTAGAAGCCTCGCAGCTGGTGGCCTACTAGCTGAGCAATCGCTTTTTGTACAATGTCCCCGCCGATAAGCAGTAAGACGGAAAATGTCTCCGCCGGGTTTTCATATTGCTGCTTGAAGAAGACACTCGGATTGGAGGAAGTGGAGGTAGGTGTCACCGGGCCGGTGGCATTTGTCAGAGCTTCGGAGGCACGAACGTGGAGGGATCGAGAGGCAACGGGTTGCAGCAGGAAGAAAAGAATTGAGTAAAGGAGCATCTTCGAGGCTGCATGATAAGCAGTTCATCACATCCCATTCACCATCTGTCACGACTTTAAACTTAAGGTGCGCTCTTGTATGTGCAAGACATGGACCTGCATGCGCAACTCCGCAAATTTCCCAGCCTCGCCACGTGCTGCCACGTGGTCCTCCGAAGGTGCAGCGAAATCCCCTTCCGCACCAATTGTCTCGTTGGACTAGGGGACTGACGTGTCGATAACCACCAGCTTCCAAAAAGCAACATAGCGACTTTCTACCATTGGAACCCCCCGTCACCATGTCTATTTGACTAATCGATGCCACAACCCTGGGCTGAAAGTCTTCACGGGATAAGTTCCAGAATATGTCATCCCATCCCATACCCGGGCGGCGGAAAAGTCAGTTTGCAGGAAGCCACTCGCATCTCCAGCGACCCTAATAATCCAGCTACAATGAAATCAGGCTATCACGAGATACGAGACACGTACAAAAAGGCCAAAGGCCACGCTTTTCGGTATTGTGCATGGTTCGACACTTGCTGCACGTAGGAATGACCCCTACATAGATGTATTCCCGTAAGACGCTGGCATGCCTTGCCTGCTAGATCCTTGCGATCCGCTAAGCGCGTACATAACCTTACCTAGGTATCCTAACAAAAGACACGGCTGCGCTCTTTCATTTTGCTAAAGAGCGTGTATGTCAAACAGCATGAGCAGGATGTGCATGCATTTTGCGTTCTACACCTCGAACTTGAAGATGGAGAGCTGATTGACGGTCCATCCATCTTCATCATATTAGTAGCTTCTTCGCCTTTTGATAGATGCGGGATGCGAAGACGCGAGGGATACAAGTGTGGACTACATCACTTGTCTTCTTCCCTTGCAGATTTTCACCAATGCGGTGTTTCGGTGTTCTCAATGCTGTTATGGTAATACCATGAATTAGTGGAGGTGTCATCACGGTGTGACGGCATTCTTCCCTCGATGCCAAAATCGCTGGCACCAGCCCTTGCCCTTTCCCCCGGTGCTTCTTGGGACTGAATTGCCGACCACCACCATCTTGCAAAACGCAATGTGGGATCCAGTCCGTTCGACTTATCGACTCGGTCCTATTCTACTCTACTGCCGAACACACGGTACGCGATGTCTTGCCGTGTCCACATCTCTAATGGGCGTGAAGACCATTCGATTGAGGATTCAAGTTGGCCGGCGAACGATACCTGTGGATCTCGTTCGAAGCCGCATCTAAATCATGCTTTCCATTCGACAGGCAAGTCGAAGTAGGAAGCAGCGCACCTGGATTCTCAGCAGTGCCCAGGTAGTATGAAAGGTCGCCACCATCGTACTCCCGAACAGTGAATCCATTGCCAAAGAATCCAAAGGGGTTACCACCCTCGTAGCTGATGTTGTAGTCTTCATATCGCGGTTGCGACAGAGCGTCGAAGAACAGAAGCCGCGAACCAGGCCAGATCGACAAGGGACCGTTCTCTTTGCCTTGCTTGAACCAGCTTCGGCAGCCTGACGACCATGCCGTACGCTTCAAGAACAAATCGGCATGCTCGATGAAGGCTTTGCATACTTCTTTCCGTGGTGCCATGGCACGGATGTTATGGGTTTGGACTTTCTTGATTAGCATCATGAAATGTCGCATGAGGTGCTCGATTATGGGCAGGAATGAGCCGTGGCCTACAGGACCGTATGCACCAGTCACAGTCCAGTAATTCGGAACTTTTTCAGGTCAGTAATGCGCGACTTTCACAGAAACGGGATGCCGTTACTCACTCTCGGGTACGCCGATGGAGAGGTACGAGATGGGTTTATCCTTTTGTATATCTTGGACATTCATTCCACGTGCTTTAATTGGGAAACGAGGAACCCATGATGTGTCGAATCTGCCACAACATTGTCAATTGTTTCTAATAGACCTTCTCTGGCAGCGGGAACATACCCTGTCGCGCAGATGATAACATCGACTTCGTGCTCTAAACCTAGATGGTCGATGAAACCTCTGGAGGTAACTTTGATCATGTCTCTGGGAAAAGTCGTTACATGTGGAAGCGTCAAGGCTTCTAGGATGCCATTTCTGGGTGTGGGGCGTCGGCAGCCAACGCCGAACTTGGTGGGTACCAGCATATTGATCAGATCCTGCCGGCCCTTTAATTTGTCCTGCATCTGTCTTGTGGAGAATTCCTTGGCTTCCCTCGCCTCGGGAGTGCCGTTGAGAATGAACTTGAACCTCTGGTTCAATTCATTTTCGATCTCTTTGGTATACATGACATACTCGGGGAAGTTCTCTGCGAATTTGTGCTTCTGCTCCTCGGAGTATTCAAAATGTACTCCGTCGGGCCCAGCATACTTCTGAGCGAATCCAGCGGTAATCCAGGTCGGTGACCTCACCCAGGTGTAAAGCTGTTTGACCTTTGACGAGATGTTGGCCGTGACTTGAATGCCACTGCTGCCAACGCCAATCACTGCGACACGTTTGTCATCAAGGTGGATACCGACGGCATAATTTGCAGTGTGGCAAAGAGTCCCTTTGAAATCATGAAGACCCTCGATTTCTCGCCATTTCCAGCTGCTATTCGCGTGTCAGTTCACTGTGTCTATATCGAAAGTGTAAGACCTCACTTCAAGATGCCTCCACCGTTGATGAAAATCTCGGCTCTATCAACAAACTCGGTTCCGTCAATGAGATTTTTGACCTTTAGGTGCCATCTCCCTTCGTCCTCGTGCCATTCGGCGTCGGTTATTTCATGGTTGAGTTTCATGTATTTCTCAAGTTCGAATGTGTCGACGACATCCTTGAAATACTGCCAGATCTCCTCCGAGTACGAGTAGAAGTGTGACCAGTCGGCTTTGCGCGCCCAAGTAAACTTTGACATGGTAAGAATGAGATAAGGGAGCAAGGGTTGTTGGGTAACTAGTACCTGATAGTTTACAGAAGGAATATCACACGCGCAACCGGGATATCTGGATCTCAATGTCAGCCAAATTCCGAACAAACGAAACCTTCAGAATCTTCTAGACCTGTTTTCCAGCCAAGTACCACCAATGTCGGGATTCTTATCGTAGCAGCAGAAGTCAACATTCTCCAACCTCTCCGAAGCAAACTTGGAAAAGCAAATGCCTGAAGCTCCAGCGCCAAGGTGAACGACCCGAATAGGCCTTTCTGTGCCAGAGAGTTGTTCTTTGATACGATACCCTCGGGCGTTCGTAGTCGGCCATCCATACCGCTCTGGGAGGTATTGAAGGTTCTCACCGACGACGGAAGTTATCGTTCCAGTCTTTGATTTTACGGGTAAAGAGGTCATATCTTTCAAGGCTGTCGACGTGACAAGATTTGTGGCAGGAAAATGGTTGCTGCGGTACTCAGAGTCTCGACTGCGATGCAACGAAAGGCGTGTCTTTATAACCAACGGCATCTCACAATTGGGCATAAATCCCACAAGAGCGCTGGATAGTCAAGCCCGGCGTTTTCACCAACGCGGGCCATACGGAGTAACCGGAGGCAGCAGCATCCCTAGTGCACTTGCAAGGCTGTGGCTGCGCATTGTGATAACATATTTTGATAAACCTTGTGCAATCCCGGGATAGTTAGGAAAGTGATGGCAAGACGGCATCTTGTGGTAGCGGTGGGGTGTGCTCCGTCTGGAAGACGGCGTTTTCAACATGTCGTCTTGTGTGAATGGGGAAGCATGCTGCTTAGCGGTCGCGGCGTTCCTATGGGTTGCGCATCTTGAAATCTTCTTAAGCTTAGCTAAAGATGATGGTTGCTTTGTCCTCGGATGCCGAGACTGACTCGATTGATGATTGTTGGACGTCGTGGGCATCGAAATAAAGGCCTCACTCTGGACACAGCCTGTGGCTTTGGGGTAGGAATCTCGGCTGAGCCCCTCAGCCTGGCTTGTGCCTGCTGAATACACGGACGATCTCGTGCGCTCCCCAAGTTAAGCCTCCTTGGGTCAAGTTGGGAAATTAACAATACCCGGTCTCATTCGTCGCCATGATAGGCTACGCCGTACTTACACCTCGGCAATCTCCTACAAGAGGCCCAGGCTCAGCTTTACCCCAGGATTGCCACAGTCAAGGGGGCATGGAGTGGGACATTAAGCGACTGGTGGCCATCCCAAATACGGTGCACCTTCATGGTGGCCGACATTAAACGTTCACATAGCCAACGTCGACCTGGAAAGCGTTAGTCGGGTTGCTACAGTTGAGTGGCCATCGATTCTTTGAATCTCTTCTAGTCTCAGTCCCTTGGATCTCTGTACCAGCATCTTCACAACAATGGATGCACCAACAACTAGTGGCGCAACAGGGCCGGTAGACCGACAATCTTTAGAACCACGAGCTCGACGTATAGGACGCGTTGCTTGTTCATACTGCCATCGCCGACGAATTCGCTGCGACGCGTCCCAGTCTCAACCCTGCTCTAATTGTGCCATGGCGCAGATATCGTGCCATCTGATTGAGTCCAAAAAGGGGAAGTAAGTCAACCTCTGACTGGATGCCTATCCGAAACAGCGATGATCTGACGACTCGAACAGATACCCTAGAACACGTTTGAAAGCTAATTCAAAGCCTCCGACTCCGGCAATAGGTCGTCGCGATCGCAGCCAGCATTCCTTGGTAAGAGGCACCACTCCTGTGACGCCACTCACACCTCTGCGGCAGGATGCATTGTTGCCCAACCGACCATCAGGGGAAGATGTCGCTGCTGAGAACATCGAGCTTGATCCGCCAGAGGAATCTTCATCGCACGGGGTTCAAGAGCCCACGCCCGAGGATGGCTCAGACGACCTCTATGCCAGATTATCACAGCTGCGCTCATCGACGTTACGGAATCGCAACCTGCTAGGAATGCACACGATCTATCTGGGAGAGTCATTTTTACTCACCTATGTAGTCCGAAAGAGTATTGATGCAGAAGCAACACCACCGTCCGTTTCTACGCTGCAATTGCCTTTGCCCACAGCTGCCAGCAACAAGGACAGACTCAGACCGGATTCGCATCTCAGTGAGGAAGACCTGGAGGTTTTGAGATTGAGAAACGCTTTCACATTACTGGAGAAAGAGGCCTGCGATGCGCTCGTAGCAACATTCTTTCAGATTGTCTATCCGGCTTTTCCGATATTCGACAGACGAGACTTTGCTCGACTGTATGAAACAAACCAGATCTCATTACTTGTTCTCAACTCAATATTCGCGTTGGCAAGCACCTTATGCGATGCCAAGGTGATCAAAATGGCCGGCTTTGACTGTCGAAGGTCCGCTCGAAAGGCGTTTCTCAAACGCACCAAGGCCTTGTATGATGCAGATTACGACAGAGACAAGATTTCTTTAATTCAAGCGACCTTTGTCATCAGCTTTCTCTGGGATGGCGCAAACGACGCGAAAGATATGTGGCATTGGCTTGGCATCGCGATCAGCACTGCTCAGACGAAAGGACTGCACAGATCGTGGGTGGTGCCTTTATCCACTAGATGCTCTGGAGCCCTGACAGAGAAGCAGCACGAGGCATTCGATTCTACGATTACGCGACCGCAAGCTGTGGAAGCGGCTATGGTGGTCGCTTTATGTATGAGATCGGAAAGAACAGTATTTGTAGAACAGTTTCACTTTGCCGCAGGTTCGCGACCGCCACTGCGCAGGTACCGTTGGTCGTCCATTGCGGATCCGTGACGACGACTGCGACGTCGAACCGTTGGACGAAACAGACTTTATTGATGCCGATGACGATGAGTTTGGCGACAGCGACCCGGTCGTCCGCTCCAGTGTCTGCACGAGGACTAACGTTAACTTTGCACATATTCAATACACTATCTCAATGTCCAGACTTGCTGTGATTTGTAAGTACAGCAATTGGAGGTCCCTCTTTGCCCCGACTGACTGCATTCGCTTCTGAAGTCGGCAACATCATCTCAAGCAAATTTCCCATTTCCCCTTCAAGAGACACTCTTAGTTCGGCAGAATTGGTCGAACACCTGAAGATATGGCGGAAACAATTGCTGCTTAGGGTTAGTGATGATGATGAAGACCAGAACATATGGTTCTGGGCACGAATGCTGGATTTGAGCTACAAGTACTTCACTCACCGTCGCCCGCACCGGGGGCGACAAGAGAGGGCTTACGGATGCTGATCTTTTCTAGTCACCTGCTCATTCTGCTTCATCGTCCTGAGCACGGAAAGGTTCCGGCGACCGTTATCTCGCCGCACCATACAGCACTCATAGCTGCAAATAGGATCTCCAGGATCGTTGATGAGTTCCTAGGTATGGGGGCGAGGCAACAAACTCAGCTTCAGATGTAAGCTCATTGTTCGGGGCCGTTCAAATAGTGCTGCCACGATTTCAGGTGCTCAGCGGCTAATCCTATGAGATGTAGATGCCCAAGCGTTTTCGCCGCGCTGACCATTTATACGTCAATGGTTCGGCATTCAGACAAGATCCAACGAGAGCTTGCAGAGAACAGGGCTCGCCTTGTGATGCTTGGCCTCAGCCAAATTGCGGAGACATGGCCTGCGAGCAGCTGGATACTGCGCCTTTTCGAGACACTGTTCAATAATCAGCAAATGGTACGGCCATGGAGCACGAGAGATCATCGAGAAATCGCATCTTCGTTGTCAGCAGGCGGCCGTATTGCACAAGAAGAAACTCTGGATCGTGGTGTGGCAGCAGCAAACAAGCAGCAACAAGAGTTTACGGCGTCCTACGGCCAGGCTTCTCTTCAGGTAGTAGAGGGTGTTTTCAAGGACGGCAATGGGTAGATGCAGAGGGACCCTTCATACGCTCAAACGCAACAGGCGCCGCTTTCCGCGAACGAGTCTTTCGATGCAGAGCTGCTGACATGGTTCCCAGACGATTGGTTGGACTTTAGATTTCCAGATGGCTTCTGAAGGCTTCTTGTCCGGCGGTGGTATGTGAGTGCAGAGCGGACCAATAAGTGCTCAGGCAGAATTCTAAAGATTAACAAACTCTTCTTGCATAGGGCGCGAAATGGCATGTAAGCACACTCGACGCTATCTCGCATTGACCGTAACCCTGACTTATCTTTACTTATAACTGACTCTTCGAATGTCAAGTTCACTTACTATCACCATCCAACATGCCTCTCTCCTGCTTCTCGACCTTTCCCTGGATTTTGATCGTGGCTATCTAGGTCTTAGCCAGAGTCGTAACTGCATATTCGTAGTGACTATGGTCCTGATCCGGAGACTCCTTCGCCGGATTACCTATCCCAGCTTCTGCATTGGCGGTGGCACGGACATTGGATTCAACTACCATATCCAGTTCAGCTTTCTCCTTGGTTGTGATGTGGGTTAAGTGGATCTCGACGTGATCGCCGAACTTCTCGTTGATCTCTTCCAAGGAGAATCCCCTCGTCTGAATATCGTCAGCTTTCGCCTGACGGGAGATGAGATTTAGGCATACCTCGAGAAAAGTCATCCAGATGATAGGAATACAAACCGTCGTCAAACAGATGAAGACAAGATAGTACTTCCAGCCGATCGTTGCAAAGGCGTAAGGAGCTGCCTGGAGGTAAGGAATAGTGCATAAGTAGAGCACGATGATCGAGAAAGCCATGCCTTTGGCTCGGATATGTGTCGGAAAGATCTCCGCGCAGTAGACGTAAGTGTTGGCATCGATGCAGCCTCCGTAGCTTTAGATCATTAGAGGGAACATCAACTGGTAAGGTTGACGGTAGCCTCACCAAAAGATATAAAAGAAGAGGATGAATACGCCTGCGCTTAGACCGGCTTTGTTCTGCGTCCCGGCATATTCAGCAACGAGCGCTGATTCGATTGCGAGACAGAGAACACAGCCCGAGAGACCGATAACTGAACCATGTCAATCAAAATCACACTTTATATCCATAGACTTACTCATCAACCGAACCCTTCCAACTCTGTCGATCAGCACTGCACATACGTAGTTGAGGAATGCAGCGATAGTGCAGTATGCCGCTCCCAATATGAGCGGCACGCCACCTTTCTGTCCCAAACCCTGGTATAGTATGACGCTGTAGTCGTCGAGGACCTTAGCGTGAGTGAGAGTTTAGTCCAAGAGAGGACCTACTATAGATGACAAGATTACCGGGAGCCTGTGCAGCGAACATGGTGACGAAAGCACAAAACATTCTTTTGCGGTGACTCGGCTTGCGGAAAAGGTCAAGCAGACTCTCGTGAGTGCTCAACAGTTTGTCAGCGTCTGCTTGTCGCGAAATCTGGTAAAATTCCTCTCGAGCAAAGAGTTGTTGGTTATCAGTGACGCCATGCAGCTTGGAGATGATGGCCCAGGCTTCGTCACGCCGGTCTTGGAACAGCACTAGAGTGACTTGTCAGCACACGAGAAGAAAATGATAAGTGGGAGGGGTAGGGATTACACCAACGAGGCGACTCAGGAACCACCGGCAGAGTGACGAGCATCAAGAGTGGCCACAAGCACTGCAGACCCAGGGGAAACCGCCATTGAAAAGCTGCGTTGGTGGCATAATAGCAGCCCACACCAACCCAAGCCGCAATCGAATACGCAACGACGATGATAACACCTACTCAGATGTGCATCAGTGCATGTATTGGGCTGAAGCGTGATTGTATGTGCATACCATTCTGTGCTACGAGGAACCCTCGAGTCGAAGGAGGTGCAATCTCGGCTTGGAAGACAGGGACCAGTGTAATGAGCATGCCTACCGGAAAGGTCAATACTTAAACGCATGTGCGATCATACAACTGACCTGCACCCAGGCCGGTGACAAATCTAGCCACCAGAAACATGGCAATACGGACTGAAGTAGTTTGCAAAATGCACCCGATCAGAGTGACGACTCTCGCAACCACAAGCGAAGGCTTGCGGCCACGAGCCTCGCTCATCCATGCCATGAAACATGAACCAAACACCCCACCCGCTGACAAAAGGCCATTGATAGCCCCGACAATGCTGGCAGTGTGAGAATAGTTACTGGCCATGGTATTGGCAGTCAAGCCAAAATAAGCATAAAAGTTGAGTTGGCCGAGAGTAGTCGAGATGATGCTGAGAACGTAGCCATATGTCATGCTCCCGAGACATATAGCAAAAATAGCCTGGCAGTCGGCGGTAAGCATATACCACACTCAATGAGAAGGGGGCCTACAGAGGTGTTGGACCACGAGATTTTCGCTTCTCTAGACATTCTGTTCTCCGTTGACTGATGGGCAGGTGTCGTATACATGAAACAGACGTGTGCAAATTCGAGGCAGGACTTGAAGTTTCGAGCAAGAAATTTGACCTTGGAACCAGGAGATTTGGTCCGTGAATAAGTACTTTGGATAACGGCCCCAGACTCGGCCAGTCAACCTGGTTCTGCGGGAAAATAGTCTGGGGAGAGCTCTGTGGGGGCCCAAGGTTTGCGCAGTTCTTGCGTGGACGGCGTCTCCATTTCAGAGAGACAAATCATGGGCTGACCGAGAGGGGCATGAATCTGAGAATATCCAAACTCAAGACTACGTCCTGTAGAATCCAAGGTAAGGTTGGACAGCATGAACAAAGACGCCGTTTTGAGTTCCGTGAGCGACGGCTTTCTGTAAGACGCCGTCTTGGCTCCTCAACAGCAGAGAGGGGAGAATTACCGGACTATAAAATATTCGTCTCAATATCTCGAAGCCCTGGACAAAGCATGACATTCACAGCCAGCATGACCTTATCAAACAGTAACCAAGAAACAACACGACCCGCGTTCCCATGGCGCAAACGAGGCCTGGTCTCATATGGCATACCGTTTCCCCAGCTTGTCGCGACGCATGTCGAAAGATTAGGGAAATTGCGGGTATATGCGTTGGTTTCTGGGTCGCTTGCGAGGAACACAGATACTCTATCTAGATTGAAGGAGGCATTGGGTCCAAAACTCGTGGGAGAGCGCATTGGGTTTCCCAGCCATGTGCCTTGGAACGATCTGCTTCGTTTGGCACAGGAAATGTAAGTTGACTTTCACATTTGAGTACCGACGCCAACGGCCCACTGCCCCTTTTTCTTGAAAGATCTGGTACGATGGACATCCAAGCTGTGGTGGGCAATTAGGTGCCAGAACCAGAGGCTAATAATGTCGCAGAAAAGAGTCGGGCGCTGAGCTGGTCATGACCGTAGGTGGGTTGTGCTGCACCCCTTGGGCGTAATGTCTATCTTCCCAAGACATGGACTAATCTGAACACTCCACCAGGAGGAGGGTCCATCACTGATGCTGTCAAGCTCGCCGGCCTCATCCTCGCAAACGATCTCCATGATTTCAAAGCCCTTGATGCAATGAGCTCGAGACTAAAAGCAGCCATGCAGCATGATATCGACTATAAACATGCCTCGGATCCCCAGGACGTAAATCCTCCACCATTCGTCATGATCAATGTACCTACAACGTTGTCCGCTGGAGAGTATTCTCCGTACGCAGGGGGGATCGATCCGACGGAAGGCATAAAGAAAATCTTCATACTTCAAAGCCTAGCATCCGACATCGTGATATTAGACCCGGAGCTCGCACGGCACTCTCCCGAATGGGTATGGATGAGCTCAGGTGTCAGGTCGATAGATCACTGTGTCGAATTGCTGGGCAGCTTGAGCAAGATTGATCCGGAGACAGAGGAGGCCGCAGAGAAAGGCCTTGTGTTGGTGGCGCGAGGTCTTCTGAAATTGAGGAATGACCCCAGCGACCTTCAGGCTCGCCTTGAGACTCAGCTGGGCTCAAACTTTGCAATGGACGGCAAGTTCACACATCACCCGCGCGATTTTTATGAACCATCCCTGATATCATGGTATCTAGGTCTTTGCCGAGGTGTCCATCTTGGTGGCTCCCACGCTATCGGACATCAGCTCGGTACCATGAACGTGGCGCATGGTGAGTTCATCAAATCGCCAACAAGCAGGGATTCTATACTTGTACTAACGTTCTCAAAGGATACACATCCTGTATATTATGTCCTTCGGTCATGAAGTACAATGCAAAGGTCAATGCAGCTCGGCAACAATGGGCTATTCACATCTTATGGTCCGACTCGTATATCCGACAGGCGCTATCAAAACGAGGTCTCACGGCCGAGAATGACTTGGGAGATCTCTTGGACGGATTTTTCCGAGAATATGGAATGCCCAGGACTCTGAAGGAAGTTGGAGTTGAAGGGGAAGCGAACTTACAAACCTTGGCCGTTCGAAGCTTGAAGGATCCTTGCTGTAGAACAGACCCAATACCCCTGACGACACCAGAACAGGTGATGAATATCCTGAACACTGTAGAAAGATTATCCCACAGTGAACACAAGTCTTCATCGAGTGTGTGTGGGCCGGGAAATAAGAACTGAACTCTCAATGAGTGGCCTTGACCTGTGCCCAAGGCCCTCAAGCTCTGAGGTTATATATATTCCGTACAGAGGAGTCAATGGCCTAGATGCTGGCGCCGGGGTGGAGGGGGTTTCTTTCCGCTGCTAAACAGTGGTGGAGTCGGGACGCCCACGGCTTAGTGACGGCCGGGCCAAGGGGGTAAGCCGGCTAGAGAGGATTCGGCTTGGCAGATTTCTTCAAAGGCTTGGCAACTCAGGCAGATCTTGGTTCGCTGGCTTGTCCGCATCATGAGATGAGGAGGTGACCACATCCAAACCCTGTCCAACTCTCTCTTGGCCACAACACCGATCTCGAAATGGAACTGTAATAATGTACCCATAAGCTATCCGCATGGACTACCTACCAAGGATACTAGTCCGGCCATCGCATGATAGACTACAAATATCATCTCTGGAAGGCCTGATCACCGCGAAACTGTCAGACTCGGACGGATCGCGCGCTGTCTCCTTCTCCTTCGAGGCCGTCCCAAATGGCAGTGTCGAGGAGAAACGGGAAGAGACTGGAATGCTATGTGATTTATTTTCCCACACTTTGACCCAATTCTTAACCGTCACCCACAGCGAGGGTAAACGACTTATCCCGGTTCCCACAAAGTCCCACGGTATTGAGACCATTCCCATTGGGGCGCTCTCCAGCGTTCTGGCAAGCCTTGTGAGAGAACACCTCAAGAATAGAAAGGAAACAGCCATCAACAACTCTGTTCAGAACGGGAAAGTTCTGGAATCTTTGCAGAGAGCCGCGACAACTTTGCAGACATTCCGAGACGACTTGACAATTCAGAATGACGCCAGCCAAATATCCCAATTCCAACTGGCAACATTGTCTTTGCAGTGTCTTATCGAGACACTATACGACTTGACACTACCCCAATTTCATTTGCCCACCATATATTCGATTCCTAATCCGTACCCTTTCTGGATCGACAACGTATTAGTCAAGAAATTGTTGCTCGACTCCGGCTGGGACGAGAGCAAAATACGGGCTCTGCCCAAAGACGTCCGATTCCGTTACTATGTCAGCTTTTTGAGCAGTGGTGGCCCGGAGCTCAAACGGAGACGGTCTTCTGCATATTTTAAGGAACGCTACTCCCCAGCTCATGTGTCTGGAAATTGCCGCTGCGTCAGGTTAAATGCAGACCTCGACATCGGAAACAAAGAAGTCACTAACCCTTACTTCAATCTGGTGACATTTTCTGCAGTCAGCAGCCACCATCATTGCCTCAAATTAGAGAAACAAAAGCTTCCGTCTGAGAAAGATGTAAGCTTGACGTTTGTGGCATTCTCACACTTGAGGTCAGATGGTCTTGGATCCAGCGAAGAGAACGCTTTGCCTCGATGTCAAGTGGAGTACCTTCAAGATCTGAGCAATCGACTACTACCAGAAGAGGATCATCCAGTTCCGTTTTACATCGATACTCTGTGCGTCCCAACGCAAGGCGCTGCGAAAGCCGCTGCTCTCCGAAATATGCAACGTATTTTCGGAAGTGCGCGTAAGGTGCTTGCGCTCGACATTGGGCTTTCCGCCATAGCAGTGTCTCCCCTCCCCCAAGAAAACTTAACACGAATACGTTACTCCTCCTTCATGCAGAGGTTGTATACAGTGGCGGAATGCGCAGTGTCCTTGGACATGTACTTCCATTTTCAGGGTGGCACCTTTGTTTCCTTGACCGATCTTATCTCGACGTACGACACCAACGAGGAATTCCCCTTGCTAAGCATCGTCAGCTTCAAGGACCGCAGGCGAAACACATTGACGTTGCAAGATTTTGAAGATTTGTCACTTGCATTGGTATGGCTGAGTGACGATCTCCATGTCCTGAAAATGTATTCGAGAGGACAATTAGACGGGCCGTTGCCTAAAATTGACGTTGACTCAGTCTTCCCTCTGGTCTCTGGAGAGCGGTCTCCTGGCCGTCAAGTATGTGGCGTGCATGTCTTGCGAAGACTCCTTCGACTTGGCTTCCTAGCACTCCCTCATATGAGGTATTTTGCACAAGCCGATGAAGCCGCAATTCTGGATGAAGTAGCCCATAAAATACTCGACGCATACGGGGGCATCTTGAGGGAGTCCGAGTCTGCAGCAAAGACCAATAACCGGGGGCTGCTACCCGGCCAGGTTCCTGAACACTCTACCATCGATCGCGTCTTGAGTCGCCTAGGGAAGGTATACAAACTGAACAGCCCGATGAAGGTATAGCCTAGGTCTGAAATATCTTGCTTGCATTATTAGACTCGATATCATATAGAGAGGGCGGTCGGGGCATATTTTTATTTCTATCAGATTACTTTCAAAGTTCAGATTTCCAATGAATGGAACACCGTGGCCGTTAAAAACTTCACCGTGAATCCTGCCGTGTTGACAGCAGTAACCGTAAACAATTGTACGAGGTATCATGACCACCAGTCATTATGGCTGTGGACGGGTGTGGCGGTCCTCAGGAGCCAACGCCGCATGCGACGACGTCATCGGCCAAGGCTACCAGGGCTCGATCTTGGTCTTCTAAAGGGGCCGAAACTGGCGCCAATCTTGCCCAGTGTTTCGTGCCCCTCTCGCCTCCCAACTCTGAAACACTGCATTTCAAGCTCCGACATTTGAGCGTCTCGCCCAAGGCTGTGCATACACTGCTCCTGACCCGACCTTGAGCCTGCATTTGTTATTATTTTCAACCAAGTGACCGGGCAAGCCAAAGGACACCACGGTTCCTATCAATGACGGAGCTTGTTGATTTCGTTCATCGAGAGACCCAAGCTTGCCCCGACGCCAGTTGCGGCCAAGGCGAAGCAACATAGCATCGCCCTGTCCAGTTCGGAGGCTCTGAGACACGAAGCTGTCTCGAGAAGCAACTTTATTTATACACTTAATTAGCCCCATATGAGACCTCGATGTGTTCCATGGGTCGATCCCCATCCAGCGTCCTGACTCTTGAGTAAGGAGTAAGTACATAACGAACACCCCCAAACCCGGATCAATGTTTGTAAGAGTGTCTCTGTTTCAATTTGCATTCCTTCTACATACACACGTTTGTTCGTTGAGAATTTTGTGTTGGTCATCGAGTCTCTCATTACTATGAATACCTCACGCGCTTTTCTATTGTTCGTCCTTGCGGCGTTGGCCAACGCTCAGTCTGCTCCGGACTTCCCTGTCCAAGTGACGACGAATCTGCGGGTCGATTTCCAGAGTTCTTTTACCATCGTCGATCCGGCTGGTATGATAATATCTCGTGATGGTGAGTGGCTCTTTTATTCCTTCCTTTGACCCTGCATTTATATACGTGTAAATATGACATGCTTGAGCTCGGAGATGATCTGACGTGGAGCAAATGCTAGACGTCCTCGACGAGCCTACGGTCAACGGGCCCAAAGACGCGTCTCAAACACTGGATTTCATGATCTTCATGATCGACCAAGACGCCACTTCGCCCGATAACAGCGATGAACGCGTGCAGTACCTCCAGTGGTACCAGCCGAATCTGGCCGGCGCATCAGAGGTGCTCTTTGACTTTGATAGCGATGCGCAGAACTTCACCTCCGCGCCGGCTGCTTCATATGTCCCGCCGACGCCGCCAGCCGGGGATAAGGCACACCGCTACACCCTGCTGCTGTATTCGCAGCCAAAGGACTTCAGCATCCCGTCGTCCTTCGAGTCGTTCTTCGGGTCCTCGGACCTGGACGCCAGGCTGGGCTTCGACATGGCTGGGTTCGCCGATGCCGCGGGCATCGGGCAACCGGTCGGAGCGAACTGGTTCCAGGTCCAGAACGATTCGCAGCCTCCGCCGTCAAGCAGTACTACGGCATCATCATCAACCTCGAGCACAACACTGAGCAGCTCCACCGATACATCCACTTCTACAACCACAATCACAACCACATCCTCATCTTCTTCTACTGATAGCTCCACCGATAGCTCCAGCTCCACGCCCGCACCTACCACCATGACAGTCGCCACGGTTACAGCCGACTCTAGCTCCTTTGTCCAAACCTCTACCGGACCGTCGACAATAACGACGGTGACGACGGCAGGAATCCCGACCCTTACAGACTCGCCCAGCCCCAGTGCCCAGCAGAGCGCAAGCGCGAGCGCGAGCGTCAGTCTTGGCACCGGCTCTGGCGCAGGAACGATCGACGCGCGAGACAGCATTAGAGGGCTGGTCGTTGCGCTGGTGTTCGGTGTTGCCGGCGCGGGGCTGCCGTGGCTGTTGTAAAAAAGAACTAACTGTAGCCCTGCGGTTTCGGTTTTCACCATGACGTCGTTTTGCATATGACTTGTATCATAAAATATTTGTACAAAAAGCGGTTCCAGTCTGTTGGATTTAGGGTACGGATCTGGATGGAATCAATCAACAACCCAATGCTATCAGCTTCAACAAGATGGGAGCGACGACGTTACAATTATTTCCTCTTTCTTTTTCGAAGGTCCCCTGGTCCTGGAATGGCTTTTGCTCAAGCTAGGAACACTTTGTTACCCATCCTACAGACACCAATCCATCCAAGGAACCTTGTTCACGACATCGTGGAAGTGTCCCGATCCGGTAGGTCCATCTCCACAAGCCGAATCAAGGACACACTCCGCTGGTTCTCCAATTAGTGTTAACACCCTCCAACCTCTTCTCATACGTTTGGGGAAATGATGCTGGTTTAAAAAAGACCTGTTGCCACCGGAGCCTCATGCACTCTCAAACTGCACTGTGCATCCTGCCACGACTATTCTTCCTCCCGGTCCAAATCAAATCCGCACCCATGATAGCACTGGTGAGAAAGACGCCCATACCAGCGAAATTCACCGATACTTTGTGCCTCATTGCCAACATGTGGTCCTAGTATAATCCGTAATTCGACGGGTCTTTGGTATTAAAGCGTTCCTTATCAAGTTTGGCATTGGTGGCTCTCATGTAACCAAAGGCAGCCGAGTACATGAAGAACATGATCAAATCCCATGGACAGGCCAGGGCAACGGGGCGATAGGACATCTTCAAGAGTATAATGCCAAGGGCGAGTCCTGCCATGACAGCGAAAGACCCGAGGACTAACTCGAAGTTCTGGACCACGGACATCAGCCTGAAACCGCAAGTTCCCTTTCAGATGAAGACTTACGAGCTTGCCGGGGAGGCCATTGTCTAACCAATATCTTTTCTCGGAGGCGTACAAGAAGATGGTGAGGACTCCGACGCTCAGCTGGATGAAGCGAACGACGCCATTGACAACGATGACGATCTTTTGATCGTTTGTCGCGTCTGAGTAGGCCATGGTGAGGTCGAGTGTGGTGCAGTCAGAAGTGGTAAAGGAGCATACAGGTGTGCGCCAGACAGTGTGTTGAACAGTGAATCGCCACGATGATCGAGTATTTGTACGCAAAGCTCGATTGCGACAGGCGTCCGGTCTGCGGACGCAGAGGTTTGTCAACGAGCACAAGGCAGACCTGAAGCTGCTGGCTGCCGCGATTGGATTGACGAGGAGGACCCGTGGTCACCATTCTGTTGCACGGCGTCCGACAGTCAAGGGAAGCGGCAAGGAGCAGCAAGAATCGAGTCCTTGCGCTTCCGTAGCTACTGGTTACAGCTCGCGAGTGTCTGCGACGTGCATAGCATAGAAGTCGACGCAGATCCGTTGCGCCCATCCTGACCTGGACCATCGAAGTAAATGGAGGCATCTCAGGTATTCCAGCATCTCGAACTGTGGGACCCGGCTCATGTTGTTCTATACATCTAAAGATTGCCGTTTTCCATCCGAACGACATGTGTACAGTACGAGTCTTTTCGAATGCCGGCACTCATATCTTTCCTCTCATTGGAAAAGCTCAAGAAACCCACCCAAGGCGCATTGAGTACTGAACGCATCGGTTCCCCTGCCGTTTTAATAGCTTTGACCGCCAGTCTCCTAACGGACAGTGATCGGGAAGAGAATGACGCGCAAGACTTTCCACGTTTCAAGGGATATGATTGCGGAATGAAATGAGATCTTGCCCAAAGGAGAAAAAAGTCAAATGTTACGGCGACGCCGGCCGGTTACCTACCTGCTTGGGCGAACAACAGGCTTCAAAGGCGCAAACGTGTGATACATCTAGCTGCAAAAAGGGAAGAGGAGGTAGTAGGGGGGGAGAGAGAGAGAGTTCCTAGCAGCGACACATAGGATGGGAGAGCTTAGCTGGAAAGAGCCATGGCAATGACTACCACGACCGACAGATGCCTCGAACGCCTCCCAGACCCGAGCGGGTTGCCGTCCGTTTCTTTCTACGAGCGCTCCTATTACATGGTGGTCGTTCAGCCTTGCTTCGCCTCGCGGGGACCAGGTCACGACGCTGAATACTCCATACACATTGTGCAACAGGCTGCGGAGCCCTTTTATTTCATGACACTATCAATACCAATAGAGTAACAAGTAGAGGAGAACCTTTTTCCTGAATATCGACGCTAAATTACGAACCTACAAAGACAAACAGCAAGCCAACTCGGCTTCAGTCGATACGCACTAGATTTGCAAGGCTCGCCTCTCCATCTTCCCGGACATAATATCTGTCGAAGGTATCCCTTATTTCCTCGCAAAGGGATAGCTATGCCCGTATGCTTGCCCATTACTCGCATTGCCATTGAAGGAAGCAGAAGCATTTGCAACAGAGCCCGGGTCAACCATTGGAGAGGTGCTTTCGCTCGGCGTCACATAGTGATTGAAAAGGGACATTCGGGGGTTATCCTCAGTAGAGTTGGCCGAACTAACTGGCGGGTTTGCATTTGGTCTCCTGGAACCGATACCGGTGTCAGAAGCATGCGCACCAGGTATCGGCCAGCCCAATGTCGATACCAGCTGGTCGTACCACTGCTCGTGTCCCCAGGAGCTGGTAGTGTTAGAATGAGCAGCAGGATCCATAGCTATCTCTGTACGCGTCATGACCTCATCGACTGCTTGTTGTGTTGTGGAGAAGGTGTTGCCGTAAAAGAACCGAGGTTCTGTCTGATTCATCACACTGCCAGGATCCGGCAAGGGGCCCATAAGTTGTGAATCGAGATTATTCATATCCATATCTGGGCCTCTCCCGCTGTACGATCGTTGCATTGACATTCCAGTCGGCGTCGTGAGCCCCAGAAGGGTGTGATGCTGACTGGCGCTGGGTGCCGTAGGATTGGATGCCGATTCCAGATCACCCCTAACGAGCGCCTCGAACTCGGATTTGAACATCGATTGAGATGCTTGTAACTCTTCGAGTTCTTGCCTTTTCGCAGCTGCCGTCACTTCCTTACATTTGAGTCTGATTTTGATGTCTCTCTGCCTCTTAACCATCAACATTTCGTAGTATCGGTGAATCTTTCTCAATGCCTGTACTGATTCTGGATCGGACATCGATTGGTCTATCGTGTTCCTCAAGAAATCAATTACCTGATCTTCTGGATCTGCATTGACCCAATATGGGTGATTCATTTGATCATTCTCGGTCCCAGCATTGAAAATAACAAAGTATCGTCTCCAGCGTTCTTGCGGGCTGAGTTTCGCCGAAGACAGCTCCTTGATCTTGTGCAACTTGTCTAAATCTTCTTTCGCATCGTTCAACGCATGTCGAGTCACAGCTGCTATGGAGCAGTTACGCCAATGACTGCATCTTATGTGGCTATGGGCATACATCCGAGGATTAGTACAATACATTGGACAGCGAAAGAACAAGCCTCTCGCCTTCCTATCTGGTGTTGTTTTGTCATTCCGGTCCGGATTCAGGTCTCGGTGCTCGTGGTCAGATTCGGATTCATCCTCCCACGGAAGGTTTGCATATTCCTCAATCCCGTTGGTGTTTTGCGCACTGGCTGCGTTGCCTTGGGGCCGCGACGAGCCTTGGCCCCTTCTGCTTCTCTTTCTATCTCCTCCGACGCGGATGATTCCATCTGGCTCGGCATCAAACTGAGGCCGAGTTTGCGTGGGTCTGAGGTGTCCACCAGCTTCGAAAGAGGGTCGAGGGTGTTTCGGGGAGAGATTAGGCTCGGTTCGCTGAGGTTGTTCACATCGAGAGGTATGGGCGAGAGGAAGGCTACGCAAAATGCGAATCTGTTGTTGCTTTGAACTGGGCCTCGAGTGGCTCGTCCTTCTCTGGAGCTTTGGCGAGGCCCTACCAGTTGAGTAAGAAGACCGAAGCACAGGCCGGGTTGCCGCAGCTGGCAATAAATGGTATTTGGGCGCCAGTGGAACTGAGGGGGTGTGTGGCGTTTCGGGCGGGGTGGGCAGCTGAATTTGATAAGGCTGACTAGGATGCAATGAGCGCTGATGGCGTCCTTTATAACGCAGCCCTTGCGACGACTGTCCAGTGAAGCAGTCAGGACCATGAATAGGAAGGTGGGATTGTTGTTGGAGCTGTGGACTTGGTGTGTCTTCTGGGAGGAACGATGATTCATGATCGCCGCCTCGAGCTGCACGCCAACCGGATGGGAAACTGTCTTCACAGCGCTTTGGCCTCCTGTTCTTTTGCGACGGGCTGTAAGATAAGTAGTAATCATAGAATCCCCGCTGCGCTTTGAGAGACCTAGGAGCCGGTAATAGTCGGCGATGCTCTGGACTATGCAACCGCTTTGGTGATGGCCTTTGAGGTTCCCCAAATCTCTTCTCGCCATTGACAATTCGTAGAACTATCTCAACGAGCCTGATCGGACACACTAGCTGGCAGTGCAGATTTGCGTGCAGGTGTGCCTCAAGAAACTGGAGTGCCAGATGGATCTTCTCCATACCAGTCGGGTGGATCGTTCGCCTGTGCTGTTTATCCGGAGTTCTGGGACGTAGCCGCAAGCACAGGGCAAGAACCGTAAAACTGAAAATGCTTGTACCCGAGACAAAGACTATCAGGGCTAGACAAGCCAGTAACACGAGTCCATCAAGTCCTCGTAGGATGGCCAATTGAACGAAACCAAGGAGGTTGTTGTCCTCTCGAGGCAGAGTCCGGGGGAGTCTCGCTAACGCGAGGGTTGCCTCGCCGCTCGCCATAGAGAAGCAAAATGTTTGATTGAGATGGATTTGATGGTGGTGCGCAAAAGGGACGCAAAAGGGACGCAAAAGGGACGCAAAAGGGACAGAGTCAGGGGACTCGGGGAGGATGAGAAAGGCAGGAAGGCAAAGCGGAGGTGGGATTAAACACGGGACCCTTGGATATCCCAAGGCTATATTCTGGTGGAAAAGGACCGAGTGGGCTTAATAAGGCAGGGCCGTCAGAGTATAAAGGAGAGCAGGTTTTCCATAGTCTGATATTGTCGGGCTGTGCATCTTCTAGATACACAGGATGGAGGGGTGGGCGGTGTGTGACTTCCCTCGAGCTGCTCTTTGCAAAGTACTGCGTAGCTCGCAACATGCAATGTGTTTGTATGGGAACTGAAGCAATTGGTGTCGTCTGGACGATCAGTGCCCAAGCTGGATCTTTCCCTGCCGTGGCGGAGCCATGAGGCTCAACGGCCCAGAGTATTGCCATTGACATGATCCGTGTCGTCGTAAACATGAAAGATGCCTGGCGAATGCAGCCCGACCACGAATCACCCCGGCGGCGCTTTCAGTGCCGACGTGGCTGCAAGGTCCAGTCCAGCGTCTATCATCACCAAGCTCTCGCTAACCGGTGAGCTCTCGGGAGATAGTCTAAGCACCAATCATTGGAGTAGCGTCCACTACAGCCCGGCGTTGCCATCATAACATTTGTCCCAGTGGCGGAAGCTGTTGTTGAACATGAGGCATCAATTTCACCGCCTCTCATCGCTAGTACTCAATGAACTGGCCAAAGTGGCAGGAAATCAACAAGATGGTCCGACGAGAACTGGATTCGATGGAACTCTGAGAGTCTACACACTCATTGTGCTCTCGTTTTCCATCGCTCAGCTTGCAGAGCGTGTCTTTGGTCGGTGTATCGAATACATTGTCCAGTTTGGGCCTGCATATACTGGCAAGTGAGGAGCAGGTTTGGTTGAGTCAAGGACCAAAAAGTGCCCCCTGTCGCGAGCGGGATCATTAGGCTGGTTGTCGCCTCCAAATAGTGCCGAAGTGCCCTTGAGTCCTGGTGCCCATCTAGGGATTCCTAGCGCCAAAGGATCAGGCCCTATCCGCTCTGGCGCCGTGCTTAAAATGACAGGCGAATCGATTGATTTTGAAGCTTCCGAGGGCGGACCGTGCTCAGTGCTCACCTCTCCGGGAATACCATTGTATTGCCATAACCACTGCTAGGTGGCTCAGACCCGGGTAGGATGATCCAAGAGACATCAGAGTTCCAATAAATATCGAGAACACCATTGCGCATGTTGCACCCGCGCCCTTCGACATGCACAACTGGTGTCCAATGCGAATTGAAAGGATCGCGACGGCGCTCGTGGCAGACAAGCACTTCATTCGGCCAGACAGCTCAAGTTCTCCACCCACGCGCTGACTCTTTGCCTTGACAACTTCTTGCAATAATCGGACGGATACTCCAGACGGACCGACTCCGTGTTCTCTTCCTTGTTTCCTTCGGCACCTTTAGGGGGGCCAGAAGGCGTTTCCGAAGCTCTCTCAGCAGGACCTGGTGGCAATTGGACCCACGGGCCTACTGTACCAAGTTCTCTGACTTTGGAAATCCACCTGACCATCATCGTGTAGGTCTAGACGGGCGCAGCCAGTCTGAGAGTGAAGCAACTCCAAATAGTGTCGTCTGGGTACGGCTCATCTTTTGCCAGTGAGCTTCTTTAACAATGCACAGCCGGAGACCTTTTTTTGCGAGGCGTAGGCATCAGCAACAGCATTAATTTCTGGTGTCGGCACGTCTTTCTATCGTGGTGTCAAATTCCGCTTGGCCCATTCTGTTTGTGTCCTCCACGGGGTTTTCATTGCTTTGATGAGCTGGGGAATCAAGACCTGCCGCGTTGTCCCGTTGCCCTTTGTTGCTCGGAGGCCAATTGGTGGTCGGCCCACAGCAAAGATCCATCGCCCCCCTGTCGATGTTGGGCTTCGCTTTCCATACAGCAGAGGTCACCGTGGAGTGGCACGGCCGCGCATAGAGGTAATATGTAAGGGATGTAACAGAGACAGCATGACAGCAGTGGGTTTGCTGGCTGTGTCTGTTATTGAATGAAGATCGAAGCATCTGGCAAGTCACTGGGTTTGAACCGTCTGAGAGTCAGGCTCTTCGTAAGTCGACGGTCAAAGACACCATATTCAAGAGAGCAGCATAGCTGAACCTTGTAAACTAGGGAATACAGCGCTTCATATCGAACATCGATGGAATATCAACAATCTCCGACGTCGACGTTTCACAAATCACACAAATCACACACGGACCCGGACAGCCTGTCGTCTTCGCCCCGTTGCAGCTGACTGATACCCAACTCGGGGTTTCCAACATTGATTGGATCTGCCTTGATTTCTACCTTGAGCTTGGAACGCAAATTCTTCCAACACCGTCATGGTTCCTGGAACCAGATGCCTAAGCCAGTTGTGGTGCAGTTTGTTTATGACTCAATTGCTGCTTGCAGACCTCTGCGGTAACATCTCCCGCGAACTGACCACGAGGTATATGACGCTGAAGCTTTTGAAGCCTGCTTTGAGATCAGCCTTCGTACCTTTCTTTACTGGCTAGATGGATTCGAGCCGCATGATTCGCAGAGGAGGTCATCGAGGCACTCTCGTGGACGCCTCACTTTCAACCACTTAGCCTCTTTTGTTGTATGAAAAGTCGGTGAAGAAAACGAGCCGCCTTGTACATCGATGCCGCCAAACAACACGACATTGACGCATTGCAAACTAAGAGAATGGCAATAACAGCCCGTGGAAACCATGGGAGGACTATCCAAATATTTCCTAAGGCACTGCGAAACAACAGAGCCAACATTTGTATCCTCAATTATACGCCTCCAAATTGGCACAGCCACGTCCAACCTGCGACTCATAAGCCTCAGTCTCGTGTTCCAACAGTGAACTAAGGGATATAGAGCTCATCTAACTTACATGCCGTCCTGACATGGAACTGTGCGTTGCCAGCGGTCAAGCGTAGCGCCCCGAAGACATGTTCACGAATGCAACCTCAGGGAACTGCAAGCTCGGTCCTTCAAGAAGTTTGACTTTTTGAGACTCCAGTGTCTCCTGGAAAAACCCACCAACGTATCTGCGCAAGATATTCATCATTCTAAGTCCGTTAATCGTCCCAATCAACTCCTTAATTGGTGAAAGGACAGTGGCGTTGATGCCGATGCTACTGGCTAGAATGGGATAGTCTGTGAAGGTACCATGTTTGGTATTGTTGACTTGCAGCTGCAGCTTCAGTCCCTTCAGCTCCTGCCAAAACGCAGTCCATGTTGCATCAGTGCTCTGATTATGTTCCTGTGCCGCAAAGATGGTAAAAGGGTCTTTGTTGGTTTTATTCATGGCCTGACCATATACACTGCCATCCATGTTCAGGCCACCAGCAAGTCTCGGTTCAATCAGCATTGCGTTTGCAGCTGTTGCGCCACCGAGAGAGTGCCCGAATATCCCCACACGCTTGGTATTAAAAGACGGGATGTCCAGTTGCTCCATCGTGGTTGAGTTGGACAAAGCGTTCAGCACAGACATGACATCGGCAACTCTGAGTGACAGCACGTGTGGCAAGTCATCCGGCAGGGTGATGTTGGCACCCTGAATGACCGTCCCGTCTGGAAACTCCACAATTGGGGCGTCGTAGGTGTGATCGATTGAAATAACATTGAAGCCCATCGAAGCAACCCACTGACAGAGCACGCTGTAAGTCAAGCGAGAAGTTCCAGCTCCTGTGGAGAAGAGTAACACTGGAAAGTCGGTGTGTTTTGGTGGCAAAGGACATGTCTGCAGGCGGAATGCTTCAAATGTTCCGTTGGGGATGCCATATGGACTGAACATGGCATCATGGAAAGCAGCCGTAACTGGCGGCATATATGAAATTCCATGGGCCTTGGTGCAATTGGTTGGTTGGAAAAGGGACAGCATCAAGCGACGAGGCTGATTGCAACCTGGTGCAAACGGGTCGACACGGGATGCGTCCGTCAGAGGAAAGGTAGTGATAAAGACATTGGTGGAAACCGGAGGAGGAGACAAAGCAACTGTTTGGCACGATGCCCTAAGGGACATGCTCAGGAAGAAGACGAGGAAGGAGACAATCATACTGACGGCAAGTGGAACTTGTTGTCTCGAGGTGGAGTCAACGAATTGTCTTTCATGAAGAACTGCTGCCGGCGAGTGTTGTGTTGGAATGTCTAAAGACTTATATAAACCTCGAATCTCGAAACAAGGAAACCCTTTGCGATTAGGATGGTGGTACAGTACCTAGGTAGTATCAGTGAAACCTAGAGGAGGTAAGTCGATGAGAGGGTATTCGAGAACCTGGCGAAAGAACAGCAGCGTGGTTGCAACGGAGCACACCTCGTATCCGTATTCATCAAAACTGTATTCTCCTCATTGATATGCTGCTAAAGCAATGAATCGTCAAGCGAGGGTTATCATGGTCCAAGCCATGAATGTGATATGGGTTGGGAGTGGGGTTAACCATGTAAGGAGGGGGGGATGGTGTAAGTATGCTTAATATAGATTGCGGCTGCTGTAATACTAGCTTGATTCGTGCACTATGTTACACCACAACAAGCGATTCGCTGAATGACGTCCATGAGAAGCCGTTCTAGAAGAAGTAAAGCCTTCATGATATTTGCCTCTTGATCCATGCGTCAGCGACCTGACCTGGTGTAGGAGAGCAGGCACGTCAGACTGCTTTGTACGAGTCGGGTAGGTGCAGTACCCAGCTGCGTGGGTGGTAGAATGTGTGTCTGTAGGCACATGTGGGACGGCTTGTCGTCGAAGTGTATCGTCGTTGAAGTCAGCAGCACCAGCAGATGTACAAGAGTCCCCGACCTAGTCGATGTGGAGGGGAAGCCAAAGACCGAGCTCGAGCTGTGGACGGATCGAGGTGGAAGAGAAAGTTAAAGACCGAGCCCGACCGCAAAGGGTCGTTAGCTTCCGCCAAGTATCAGCCATGATGAGCGCCAGATCCTCCCCGTGTATTGTCAAGCCACAGCTTCTTGTGCCTGACTGAGCCGATAGTGCCTCAGGCACCGTACCGACAAAGGTTTCACAAAGACTAGGAGGGGAGCAAGGTTGGCAAGGTCAAAGCAAGGTACTGAAGTATCAAAAGAAAGTTCAGCCTCGTAGCCTTGCGCTACTGCAGACCATAATTTGCCTTGATGCACAATCCCGGGCTTGGCAACAATTTGTCTCGATTGAACTGCGACTTAGCTCGTCTGTTCAGCATGCAAAAGCTTCAATCATTCACCACCAACACGTCCATCTCGCGTAAGTCTGGCCAGTCTCTGCGGCAATGACTGCTGCGCGTCTGTCACCAGCAGCGAACCTGCTTCGCAACTCCAGACTCTTTGCCATCCCTGCTGCTGTATCCCTGCCTGCGGTAGAACCTTCATCAGAACCGATATCATACTCTGATTCCGCCACCACTCCATACCCGACTCGAGCTGCCCTTGAGACTCCATTGACATCCTTAAATCAGGGAGATTGGGGTTTGAAAAGGCCACTACCAATCAAAACTACTACAAAGTCCGGCACGCCTCTTGTGCGGTTCCAAAGAGGAATCGACACCCCCGAACACGTTGTCGACTTTGAATCCGCAGCAGATCATGTCCTCACTTTGCGCAAGTACCAGGAGCTGAATCTTAGAGTTGTCTTGCCTGCGCCGCGGGATAGGAAATCAACATTGAATCCACAACGAACAAGTGCCTTCGACCCGGAAGTAGATCATACCACCGACCAGCCTCCCCCGGTACTCAACGGAAATGCGTCCACGTCGTGGCTAGATGAGAGTGTATCAGAACGTGCGAAGCGGATGCCGCAGCATCTAAAAGACGCGCTTGAGAAGATTAGAAAAGAAAGGGCAGATGCAACAAACCCTGGGGTTGAAGTACTTCCAACTCAGCCGCAACCTACTACCTCTGCTGCTCCGCAGTCCATGCCAACTACTCGCAGATGGCGCTACTCTGGACCGTATTTAGCAGGACTGAACGGGCTAGAATTCGATCGATTTTTGAAAGGCATCACCAGAGAGAAGAGAGCTGCGTTTAGGGAGTTGGTCAAGACCCATTTGGCCGAGCAGCGAGCACAAGATCAGCGGTTGAAAGCTCTTGAAGAAGGCCAAGCGGACGCAGCTCCTGAGCCTCCGTCAGAGATCACGGACCAGGATGTCACAGAGCACCTTCGATATCTACGATCAGAACCCGGCAAATTTGGTCCGCTGATTGCAGAGTTCTTTGATCTAGCTGATGGTCCCAAGCCCTCATCGAACACAACTGATCCATGGTCATATGGCCGTGACACCGTATCGGCGGATCTCTACAAAGAATCTGGACCTCCTCGCACGCACCCATCTGCAGGGCTATCCTATATCAAGACAGAAGTGTTCGCGAGCAACGACGCTGTCACTGGTCCCAGAGGGACGCGCGCACCTGTCGCAGCTCGCCTTCTTCGATCAATCCAATCTACCCACAACAAGCATATCCCCTTTGTGGGCGTGGCTGGATTTGTCGTTCCACAACCCACAAACCCAGGCATTTCAGAGCAGAACTGGAAGTGGGCACCGGTCAAAGACGGACCTAAACTAGTGGTTACTCCAACCGCGGCCAACATCTCGCAAACCGGCAAAGTTGAGATTCAAACAAGGATGCAGCCTGACTGGGTCGTGGAAGATGATGTACCTGTCAATGTCGCCGACCGACGGAGCCCGAAAAATATGTCGGCTCCCATGAGAACCCTGTCTTCTCAACTGCCGACCTTGACCAGCTTTGGCCGCAAAGAGCCCCCTGTTAGACGACCGCGGCCAGCACCAGAACCTAGTCAGAATATTGACGAAGAGATAGGTTTGTTGTTGCGGGCGAACTCAAAATACAAGCAGAGCAAGCTTACTTAGTGTACAAAATCTGTATAGACAAAGTATTACCATCTCTTCGCCGGTATGGCTCTCGCTTCTTGTGCCGTAAATCCATCCCTTCTACGAAGTACATCGCTCTCTCGCACCCAAACAACGATTTAAACCTGGCAGCGCTCAAATCTTCCTCTGCATTTGGTCGCTATTGAATCGTTCCGCGAAGAAGCACCGCCTTGCAAGCATTGCCCACAAGGTATGAGTTTGCTGAAAGATGGATGGAGAGGATGAGGCTTACGCCGTCGCCGCCTATATTTTACGATGAAGGAATTACGAACATCTTTCGATCATCAGTCGGTCTCCCATCAATATTATAGCATTCCGCCAAAATGTAATTTGCGCAATATTTTGGAGGCCAGAGACCCAGTGCAAGGATTAGGACCTCGTCCTCTGTAGGGAGCATGGAGAAGATGGGTTGATTTCCATACACTCGATACATATATATGTACATACTGGTACTACATTGGTACAGTACATACATACACACTGTACCCTTTGCCCTGTACACTAGAGTGAGGGCAATCGAATCTTATCTCTTGGCATTGGTCTTGCCAAGCAGCCACAACCTCCCAAAATTCCTTCCACAATTGATTCTTGCACACAATTTCCACACTTTCGCATCCCTGCTCACGACATCTTCAATCCAGCAGTCAAGATGGGTCGCGTTCGCACGAAGGTGAGCTCGACACCGTTATTCCTGATCTCGAAGTTACTGACGAGTGCTGTGCACATCTAGACCGTCAAGAAGTCCGCCAAAGTCATCATCGAGCGGTACTACCCCAAACTCACCCTCGACTTCGAGACCAACAAGCGCATCTGCGATGAAATCGCCATTATCGCCTCGAAGCGCCTTCGCAACAAGGTACCGCTCAACCCTCCCCAGTCCACGCTGCCCACCGCGTCAAGAACAAACATCTTCGGCTGCGAGTGGTCTTGTAAAATATACCGATTGCGTTGGTCTCCGTTGCTGACTTTTGATGGCCATATAGATCGCAGGCTACACCACCCACTTGATGAAACGAATCCAACGCGGCCCCGTGCGTGGCATCTCCTTCAAACTCCAGGAAGAAGAGCGTGAGCGCAAGGATCAATACGTGCCCGAGATCTCCGCCCTCGACTTCACCCAGAACACCGAGTCCGGTCAGCTCGACGTGGACAACGACACCAAGGACCTGTTGAAGAGCATGGGCTTTGACAGTATCCCTGTCAATGTCGTCCCCGTGAGCCAGCAGGCGCCCCAGGAGAGGGGTGGAAGGAGAGTCTTTGGCACCGATCGGCCGGGGCGCCGCGAGTAGATTTTGAGCCGGTGATCCACGAGGGCGCCGGTGGAGGCAAGAGTGCATGGAAATTCGAGTGATGAGATTCGATCGGTCTCATCGTCCATTTTCAACCGCGTCCTTCCCTTTCGCACCTCGATGTCGATTACCACTCAAGTCCGAGGTCAAATGTCAAGCAAAGCCTGGTGATGCGGACTATGGCAATGAAAGACGGCAGCCGCGAACCCTATCTGCTTCATTATGAGCCCTTTGCGGGACTGCCAACAGCGCTGAGACACTCAAGGTATCGACGTAGGTAGAGCCACCGCTGCCCTCAAAAATGCTGCTCCTGCAGCTGCAGCAGAGGGAGCAAAGAAAAGCAAGAAGCATTGAACAAACTCAAGGTGTCGCCTAGTCCCTTTGGGACGAAGCTTGATTGCCAAAAACACTTCCTTCTTTCACTTCCCCTTTTCTTCGTCTGGGCGTAGCCTCCGGGAGTGTGGGACTTTAGCCACCCAGCTCCTGCACATACGTCTCTGCGCTCACTCAACCCTCGTGCCTCCATCGAGTCTATTGCACCAGGTCTGGTTGACTCTCAGTGATGTGATGCGAATTGATTATGATCGTACCGGAAAATTTTGTCTTCTCCCATGACATAGGTACCTATGGATAGCCAACATTGACCCTGAATCTCATGGCAACGAATGGTTGGTCCTTTCCCAAACCTCATTGCTAACCTTCAGTCCATCCGAACGCCAATGCCATGCTCTGTACATGTAGGAGCTACCTCGCCTACCACTCGAACGATATATTGTCTCATAATGTCGAGGAAGCAATCCTCAGTCAGCCTTGCCATTCGTCGTTCCCAAAAGTCCCTCCTTCCCATCCAAGTGGAAATAGCCCGAGCTATTCCGACTCAACGTCCTTTTAATAGTGGCACCATTCCTCAATACCCAGAATAACATCACAACACTTATAATCAATAGCCCGAAAGACAGATATGGATGATACGTGCCAAAATTGCGGATCTGGAAGAAAACGTTCTCAAAGGCGCCGATGGTGGATTTCGGAGTGAGTTTTGGAGGGCTAGCGACGATTCGGGGTAATGTTTCAAGGATAGAGGTGCGGGAGGGCATGATATAGGCCCCGGAGTCAGTTACATCCCAGTATCGTCGGTTCTGTCGTAGTTGTTAGGTCATGGATATGCCAGAGCCAGAGGAAGATGGTACTCACATCCTCGTCATTAATAATCACCCTCTCGCCTTTGGAGACATCCACGCCGTATGTCGACCGAAGCCATCTCTCCCAGAAAATGCCATCCACCCAGGCAAAAGCGACCTGTTTTCGGAAAGTTTCCTCAGTGATGCTGATTACACGGCTCTTCGCCTGGCGTAAGGCACGTTGGTCGTTCCGGTCCTCGGCCTCTTCGATACGCAATTGCTTTGAATCGCGCAATTCTTGTCTCTCGAGTTGGAAAGCTTGTGTTTGCTTATCCATCCATTCCAATGCGGCGTTCTTCAGTTCGCGCTTCGATTGAAGAAACTCGTCCGGTCGGTCTCTCGAGAGAATGCCCAACACCACGTATTTTCCGCTCATGATCTCCTTCGCATTAGAAGCGCTCAGTTCAGGTACAATCGGTAGCCAAACCGATTGCATCCAAGTCAGGACACGCCGAAAGTCACGCATGTCCTTGGGAGCGAGGGCGTTGTAATAGCTTGGCCGTCCATCTCGAGACACAAGTAACCTTGGCCAAGTGGAAATTTTGAAACGGTTCGCCAGGATCTCGGAATCTGTCTTGACAATCTTTGCATGCCCGATCAGGCTCAAAGTTAGCCGATCGAGGGCGGCAAAATCTTCAGATGTTGTGGCATGGTCGAAGAAATAGACGAAGATTACTTCTTCGGTCTCTTCCATCTCTTTGAATGCAGCTGCGTCCACATACTTGACATCGCTGTCTAACGCCTTGTTTGCAAAGGAAAGAAGGTCACCTAGGCCGCGAAGACCTTCATACTCAACACGCTCGCCACCACGGAAGAAGTAGATGGTGGGGTAAGCGCTGACTTTGGCATCCTTGCATAATCGTGGAGACGCTTCACAGTTGACCTCTCCGATGTTGAGTTTGCCTTCCATTTCTTTCGCCAACTGAGCCCATGTCGGCGCCAGATGCTGACAATGTGGACACCATGGCACATAGAATTTAACGAACCACGGATCCTGAGATGTAGTAACAAGCTTCTGGAACGACTCCGGAGTAAGAGGAACTGAGGCTCCTTTGAGATTCGGCCGGGGACCGGTCTTTGCATTCTGGGACTTTCCGAGTTTTGCAGTCTCAGAGGCCAACATCGCGGATGTGGTCTCAGTGGACAGTGCGGCGGCTTTATTCTGTCTCTCTCCAGCGGCAGCACCAGCTGCGATATCTTTGTCCTTCGCCAATGGCTTCTCGGGTTCGGCTGTTCGGTCGACACCCTTTGCTCCTGCTTTGGGAACGTGCACTCCTTCCCTTGGTCTGGAGCCGGGTTTTATCTGTTCCAGCTTCTCTTCGACGTAGTTGCTGAAATCCTCCATGGACCGGCCTCCGGTATATTTCTCGACAAATTCGCCATCTTTATACAATAGGAATGTTGGCCAAGCTCTTACTCCATTCTTATCACAGACATCCCCAAAAGCGATACAATTTATCGAGGCAAAGTGAAAGTTGTAGTATCCGTGAAAGCTGTTTGGCGAGAACAGATCGGGCTGACCAGACTTTGTCATGCCCTGTAAAGGATCGGAGGTCGCATAGAACTCGTACAAAGTCTGCCAGAGCGGCGCGATTGCTTTGCAGTGACCGCAATAAGGCGAGTAATGTTTGACCCACCAGTATCCATCTTTTATTGTCTCCGCGAACTCATCACCTTGTATTTCTTTCATCGGCGGCACCTTGATACCATTGAAAACAGTATAATCAGCACCTCCTCCTCCTTCAGCTGGAGTATCTCCCTGGACGGCCTCATCTGCTGTTTCTGCGGTCCCTCTCTGTGGGCCTGGTGGCGCTGCAATTGAGGTAGAGAAGAGGGCTGCGAAGGCGCACGCCAGCAGAGCTGGCCTCATCTTGTAAATTGGCCAGGAAATGATCTATTCAGGGCGACAATTGAACTTCTCGATCAGAGTAGACGGATCGACAGTAGGGGATACCTGCGCGATTTTGGTCAATCGCTTGGCAGTCGTCGGCTAGAGAAAGAGAAACGAGTGTGAGAATCGAAGCGGAAAACAAGGTTAATGGCTGCCAAAGGTCTGCCCGCTCAACGAGACTAGACGACAACTCTTGAAGGTATGGAGCGGGAGATCGAGCCAGGTCTGTGATAGACATGAGGCGATGGGGATCTGCATTAGGAGTCCTTGGCAGCCCCCTGCCTTTTCCGGAGGCGGATTTGTAGGAGGAGCGCATGCCGAATACATGGTGCAAATGGTGTTCCGTACTCCAAATACTGTGAAGTATTCTGTGCTCAAGTGTACCAGCCCCTGACCGCTCCAGCTTAGTGACGCAATAGGCTTATATAATCGTCGGCACACCTGCCTCCAATGGAACGCACCCCCTCGGGAAACTCAAGTCATGCGCCTGCGCCACCCGAATCACCCAATCCCGTCGCCGTCACCGTCAACCTGCCGACAAAAGCCTCTTGATTGTGCTGCTCTCTTCTTTTTCGCTGCGATATCGACGACGACCATCCTTACTTGTGCAAGCAATTCTCCAGGAGGGCCACGACATATTCTTCTTTGAGTACCTCCTGTGGTCATCGAGACTCGTCACCATGAAAGTCTCAGCCGTCCTCTTGTCGCTCCTTACCGCCGCGTCTGCTGTATCTTCACGCTCGCTGTTTGGAGGTCAGAATGCCCTCGTAGACGAGGAGCCCAAGTTCAAGGTGCCCGGCAAGAATCCTCTATATGTTAGTTGTCCGCTGTCAAATTTGTGGACCTTATTCTCATGAATATCCAGTTCTGCGCCGATCCCAAGGAGCATATCCTCACTGTCGACTATGTTGATCTGACACCTAATCCACCTCTCCCGTACGTCTTCCGGAACCTCTCTAAAGAAAATTTCCTGATCTAATATGTGGCAGAGGCCAAAAATTAACGATCACCGCGAATGGAACCTTTTCAAAGGATGTCGACCCGGGCGCTACTGTCTTCCTCCAAGTCAAATACGGGCTCATCACCCTGATCAAGCAAGAGGCAGACCTCTGTGATAACCTGCCCAAGATTGATATTACCTGCCCTCTCAAGGAGGGTGTCATGTCTCTCAAGAAGGAAGTTGATATCCCAAAGCAAGTGGTGAGTTTGCATGACCTCCAATCCCGCAAAGATAAGCTGTTAACATGTCCTCCAGCCCCCTGGGAAGTACACTGTTCTTGCCGATGTCAATACGGTTGACAAGGAGAAGATCTCATGCATGGAGAGCACTGTCTTCTTCAATAGACCCTAGTGATGGATGCCTGAATGCAGACTATAGGAAGGCCATTAGCATGGCAGTTGAAACGCCTCGAAGAGATCGACGTGTTGCTGTCAAAACTGTGTGCAAATATCTGTTTAAGCTTCGTCTTTCATGGCATGCGTTGAGCCAGGATCTTTTAACACCAGGCACAGTCTGGAGGCGTTGCTAGTAATGAAGGTTGACTTACATGTGGAGCTTTGCAATACAACAAATGCGCAAACCTTGTTGTCCTCAAGAATGTCATTCTACATGTGAATATGCCGTCTCTATATTACGAAAAGGTTACTCCAGCTCACGCATCCAATGATGTGACCCAACAGCATCGAAATCCACCGTTGCCATGGGATGAAACAGGTCATGGAGGTTGGCTGAAGCCTGACTCATCCTTCTATGCCCGAAGACACATCCCAAAGTTTCTCTCCATTGCTTCGAAATAGCTTCTCGATCAAAGCAGGGTCGTCGTTGCACCATTCATAGCATTTCTCAATGAACGGTTCCGAGTCAATATTCTCAAACCTTGTATGCGGCCAGTCCGTTGCATAGACAACACGATCTGCGCCCTTGATGA